AACCCGTGGTCATTCACTGAACTGTAGAATGCAGAATTTTAAAAAATTTTCTTTACCACTCTGTCAAAAATTCCCACGGGACCGGGCCCTGTTTAGTGTTTACTTATGTTTAAATTTTCAGTATTCCATTTACCGGGCAAATAAAAAATTTCCCTTCAAACAGAAAAAAGAACGGGCCGGTTTTAAAAAAAAATCTTTGAAAGTCACAATGAGTGGGAGCCATAACTTTCCCCCCCTCATTTCCAAAAAGTCAACGCTGACCTGGAAAAGATAAGGGGAAACCCCCCTGGTTTGTAAATTCCTTGCCAAGCAATCTGTGGAACACACTGTTCACTTTTGTCCCACGCTCTCAACGCGTCGGACTGAAGACACCACGATGATTCCCCCTTTAGATAGGGGCTGCAGGAAAGAGTTTTTGGGTAAGTAACGCACAAGCGGACGAACTGAAACAGACTCGACTCCAAAGTCGAAAAAATTAAAGATACGCCCCCTTTTAAAAGGAAAATTTTAAGGATTTTGATTTAAAACTTCAAATTAGTAAATCTAAAACTGAAAGTGGATGGGAAAGAAAAGTTGATAAATAACATAAGTACTTTTTGGAAAAAATATTTTTTTATTTAAAAACTGTAATGAAAAATCGAAGTTTTACAATAATGAATTTTGAAAAAAAAATTCTGTTTTTTTAATTTTGGCATATAAGTATTAAGTGTTTTTGGGGAAAAAAATCTGGGAATTTTGTTGTAAAAAAAATTTGGGAACTTTGTAACGCTAACGTAAAATTTTGAAATTTCCCGAAAAATGTGTTAAAAAATGTCCATTGAGCAACTCACCCCATGAGAATATTTTTAAATAACTTAGGGGCATTGCAGTGCAAAATTTTTTCAAAACCACTTTTTCATTTCCCGGGGAAGTTTTCATAAAACAAACACCCCCTTGGGTCTAATATGGATGAATTTTAAAACAATTGGTAAATGGTAATACCAGGGAAAAAAAATTTGTGGGTTCTGATTAATAGTATCTCATAACATAGTCATAGTTAATTTAGTATTAACTAGTGCAGTGTTCAATCAACGAAAAATTAAATTCAAAACCAATAGTAGAATATGTCATGGTTATTCAAAATAACAGTATGTACAAAGAATAATAATTTTTAATTTTAAACGATACACTAAACTGCGCCCGTAAATTTCTTCAAAAACTCAAGGTGAACTCTCTCCAAGATCTGGGGTTTTAAAAAAGGGAGACTATACTGCGCCCAAAATTAGGTCCAAATACTCTAAGGTGAACTATGCTCAAAGATTTGGTTTTAAAACGGACAACCGAACAGTGTGACATAAATTTTACAATACAGAAAATTATAGTCGCACTGTTTTAGAGATTGACCGGTTTTAACCACTTTTGATACCCAAACGGCTAAAGCCGGTTTAAGCCGGGATTACCGTTTAGGGGACAAAGTTGGTTATAACCGGGTATAAGCCGGGTATAGCCGCAGAGCACATATTAGGTGCGGTAAAAAAAAATTTAAATTATGCATCCTCACCCCTATAAAAGGTTTAAATTGCGGTAAGGTGCGGTAAAATTTTTACCCAAATTTTGGGGCAAATTGCGGCGTTTTTTCGAAATTTGTGCGGAATTGTGCGGTTTTTCTTTTGGGATTTTTTCCCAAAGGCTTGGAAATTCTAAACGTATAACCGCCGCCTTTCAAAAATAGGGCGTTTGTGTTACTGGGTGTATTCTTTACAAAGACCAGTTTAACTAAAATTTTGGATTTGTTACTGAGAACATGGGGTTGTTGGGAGATCGGAGACAGTTTTTTGAAGACGCCTCTTATAGAGTCGATCAAATCCCATGCAGGGACTTCTGTTTCTTGTGTGTGAGCTTGATGATGGGTCCCTTCGAGCTGTTTTGTTTCTTTAGGAAACGGTCCATGACTTTGTGTGGGTATAGATAAACATATGAGTGGTGAAAATTACGAATGATAACTGAAACTATAATCGAAGTACGGGAACGACAGGGTTCCAAAAGGGCCGGGGCACGGTCCCCCAAAGGGCCTGGGCACGGGCCCGAAAAAGGCCTGGGAAACGGTCCCCCAAAGGGCCTGGGGCACGGTCCCCCAAAAGGCCGGGGCACGTGTAACCGGGGCAGTGGCCTAGGCATGAGTTCCAAAAAGGGCCCGACACGGGGCCCGAAAGGGCCTGGGTCAGTCCCAAAGGGCCTGGGTCACGTGGGAACTGGGTCAATGGCCTAGGGAGATTTTCCCAAAAGGGGGCCGGGGGCACGGTCCCCAAAGGGCCGGGTCAGGGGGCCCGAAAGGCCTGGGGCAGGGTCCCGAAAAGGGCCTGGGGCACGGTCCCGAAAGGGCCCGGTCAGGGCCCGAAAGGGCCTGATCCGGTCCTAAAAGAGCCCGACTTTTTAAAAATTTGGTTTTTTTCACTCGAAAATCTTAAAAGCAAAATTTTAAAATTATCAAATTACGCGAAAATTCTAGATTATGCGGGAAATAGCAGAAAAATACAAAATGTCGGAAAACAATAAATTAGCGGAATGTCGGAAAACGGTAAAAATTTTGCGATCCCGCCCCACGCACCTAAAAAATATGTGCCTCTGAATTTTAACCGGTTAAAGATATTAACTAACTCATCGTACTGAACGATAGGCAGGACCGGGTATAAGAAATTCACGAAAAAGGCTATTAGCCGGTTTTTAAGCCGCATTTGCCGTTTAGGTTCGAAAGTGTTTTTAACCGGGTTAAAATATTAACTTTCTTCATCGTACTGAACGAGTTTAAAATCTTTTAACCGGGTTATAGCCGGGTTATAACCATTCCCATACCTAAAAGGCTAATAGCCGGGTTAAACCGGGTAATACCGTTTTCACTGAATTTTTTATAGCCGGGTCCTGACTATCGTTCGTACATCATGTTGAGTTAATATCTTTTAACCGGGTTATAACTCCAAATTTTTTAAAACCCAAAAGGCTAATAGCAGGCTTATAACCGGGTAATAGCCGTCGCTAAAAACAAATTAAACGGGTACTAACCGGGTAAAGCCGCTTATAACCGGTTAAACCCCTTTTAATACCAAAACGGCTAAAGCAGGCTTTTTAACCGGCTAATAGCCTCGCCAAATCAAAAAGTAAACGGCTACAACCGGGGTAAAGCCGGCTTATAGCCGGGAAAAAAATTGTACCGGGAAACCGGCTTTACCGGGTTTGTACCGGTTATAGCCGTCGGTGATTACCAACTGGCCAAAAATTTTAGTCCCCCCGTTCGGGGGATTGTAAAACCTGACCGAGAAATTTGGTTTAAAAAAACCTAAGGGGAAGCTTTTTCCGAGACTGTTTAAAACGGACAAAAATTTCCGAGGGAAATTTAAACTTGGGCTTCAGCATCCCAACTAAACTAAAGTCCGTTTAAATAAAGTCCCGCAAGGTAGTATGAGTAATTTTTTATTTAAAATGTACAACTACAAGCTCAATTTGCTCAGGGGTTTAAAATCAATATTTTGGTCTTTTTACGTTCCAAAAGCAAGAAACATTGAATGTTTCAGGTAAAAACGATATTTTTTTTAAAAAAAACCCCGACCAATTTATCTCAAAACACTTTTACCATTTTATCCCAGGCTATAATTAGTTAAAGGGGTTTTCATGACTCGTCACATGACTGCTAGTAAAACGCACCCTTTGCTGCTCGAAGGGGGCAATTTTGAATACTGTACTCGCACAATTGCACAAGCCAATACTGGATCGTCGACCACATTTTTAATAGGGTTAAATTGGTCATAGATATTATTGTTTACCCAATTGATATTATTGTTATTTCCAAACAATACTGGTCCATTTTCGAAAAACTTCGCCACTGAACTGTCATAATGTAAGCTTTTCAACTACCAATTTCCCTAAATACGATTAAAAAACCTCCACCCAAACAGATCTAGCTAACTTCCGTTTTTGTTACCAATTTTTTAATAAAATTTTAAAAAGCTTCCCACCCCTCCCCTTTCCTTTGAAAGAACGGGTGATACCGTAAAATATTTTTTCCAAAATTATACGGGCGAAATAGTTGGTCCGCGCCAGTTGCCGCGCTTTTGGTGTTACCATTGGTGGCAGGGACTTTTTTGTCCTATTACGTCACGGCCCCAGTACTGCAAATACACTACACACGAAAGGCTTCTCCAGATCACAGTTTTTTGTTAAAATCAAACCTAATTAGATCATATTATTATTAAACTCAAACTTTAAGTTCAAAGCTTCGGCATCATTGTAAGGAGAGAAGAACATTTTGGGAGCAAATGAAAGTAATTTTTTTTTAATTGTCAAAGAGGTTTTAAACTCGTTTTCAATATCGGGGTGGGTTTGAGACTACTGTCTGATGCATATTATATGCATACTGATTTTTCACCAAAACTTTACCCACAATTTTCGACGTTTCAATATTGAAATTTTAATATTAAGCCACTGCATGTACTGAATTGATTGTAAGCCCTATATTCCAAAAATTCTAATATTTCCCACCTATTTTATATGTATTTTTTAACATTTAAGGGGAAGGAACCATTAAAATAGAGTATAAATTTTCCCAGCAGTACATTTTCTTCCAGAAATAACAAGGGCACGACATTCTGGCAAAGAAAATGAGACTGAAGTCGGAAGAAAAAACATTCGAGTAACTTTGTCAGACGCTAGCCGTTTTCATTCAAAAGATCCTTTGGGGCA